GGTGGTGCTTAGGTGACGGCTGGGGTTAAACCATGACAGGCCCAGAACTGCACACAGCACTCAAGGTGAGGCTGCACCAATGCTGAATACAGAGAGATAATCACCTCTTTTGACCAGCTGGTCATACCATGTTTGATGCAGCCCAGGATGGGGTTTGCCCTCTTGGCTGTCTGGGCGCACTTCTGACTCATATCGAGCCTGCTGCCAACCAGCACATCAGGCTGGGTCATCAGGCTTCTCCTGGCAGATTATATCTGCTGTCAGTGCAAAAACAGAATCTGGCATTTTCAATTGGTAAATGCTGCTATGAGCTAAGATATTTCCTCTAACAATGGTTCACAGAACAATGTCCACATAGCTAACAACTCCTGCTCTATGAAAGCAATAGTCATGTGGGAATTAAAAGGTTGGAAAGCCTAGGGTTTGTCTTGCTTAGACTAACCTATTCTACTTGCTATCTTTGCACATTAAGCACCTTTTGCCCTTCCTGAAACAGGCTGGACCGATCTCACTTTATGGATCCACATTTGCTATCAGAAGTTACCTACAGAGGGGAAGAACATGTTTCTGAGCTGCACAAAACCCACATTCCTCAGGACACAGCAAGTCAGCTTGGTTCTGGTTTAGAAGAGCTGCAGACACATGACAGAGCCCCGAACTATGGCAGGGTCCTGTTTCAGCAGTGTTGAGTACCTTCCTCTATGGATCAGGGGCAAATGTATCACGCTTTCAGATGTCTGCTTTTGAGAGCACTGCCTTCTGGACTCTTCAGGGCTGCTCCATGTGACGTGCCATGGGTGCAAGCTGAGAGCTTCACTCTGCTTCCTGGGGATGACTTCCAAATCTCTGCATCATAGAATCATAGAATCATAGAATCAGGTAGAATAGGTTGGAAGGGACGTCAAGGATCATCTAGTCCAACCTTTCTAGGTAAGAGCGTGGTCTAGACAATATGGCCCAGCACCCTGTCCAGCTGCATCTTAAAAGGGTCCAATGTAGTGGAGTCAACCCCTTCCCTGGGGAGATTATTCCAATGGTTGACTGTTCTCATTGTGAAAAATTTCCCTCTTGTGTCCAATTGGAATCTCCCCAAGAGCAACTTGTGTCCATTCCCCCTTCTCCTCTCCATGTGACTCCTCATAAAAAGGGAGTCTCCATCTTCCTTATAGCTACCCCTTAGGTACTGGTACATGGTGATGAGATCCCCTCTAAGCCTCCTTTTCTCTAGGCTGAACAAACCCAGTTCTTTCAGCCTGTCCTCATACAACAGGCTTCCTAGTCCTTTGATCATCTTGGTGGCCCTTCTCCGGACCCCTTCCAGCCTGTCCACATCTTTTTTGTATAGTGGGGACCAGAACTGTACACAGTATTCCAGGTGTGGCCTGACAAGCGCTGAGTGGCATAATGACTTCTTTATCTCTGCTAGTGATGCCCTTTTGGATGCAACCCAGCATCCTATTGGCCTTCTTGGCAACAGCAGCACTGCTCACACATATTGAGCTTGTACTTTTCTCCTCCCTTCTGTTTCATGTAACAAAGCTTGTCTTTTCAAAATACAGGGTGTCAAGATTTGGAAACTCAAACACTATTATGCCAGAACCACTTCACAACAGAGGTGACCACATCAAGGCCACGACTTTATATTTAACATTCTACTATCAAAGGATTATTTAGAAGTAGGTTTCCCTTCTCGTTATGAGTTTCTGTATGACAGGAAGAGTAGGGAACTTCCTCCTGAAGGTTAGAGAGGGGAGGTACTATGAGTTGTCCTCAGTCTAGAGTACCATTT